TTGTGCTATTTCCCTGCTTGTACCATTCTATGCAATGATGTTATCAGTGATAACACACTGACTCTTCCAGTATAGGTACAGTTTAGATTCCTGTGATAAGTGAACTTTACTTAAGGTAAAATATCAACATGCTGTTTTAACCATATATTCGGCAAGAAGTCAATGCTGACGCCATTCTCATTTAGTAGCATTGCAACAAGTCTGTAGAAGTTGGTGGCAAGATTTTAGGTTGTAGCTGACCAGTACTGTTATTGGATTTGCCATCCCTGCAATATATTGCCAATATGGTACAGTTCTGTATCTAGCTGTCTGGCAGTCTCGGCTCTCTGGTGGCCTCAGCCCTCTTTCCTTTTAGCTGATGCAGACCAGAAACATCTCTGCTTATAGATATTGTAGCATCTTGGCGAATGGGTGCAGCTAGTTAGTTTATATTGGTCACAATGCCATGTTTTCATTCATTACGGTGTCACTGGAAGTGTGACTAACTATTATTATGGTGAGAAGCATGTGAAATTATTATAAGTCAGATACATGGATTTTAGTGATGGCATTAGTTTCATTGTCTGTTTTGGAAAGGTACATTTTGCATATTCACTAATTACTTAAGTTAAGTTGCACCTTCACTTGCAACTAGACAGTTCAGTAAGGAACTCTTTTGCAGACCCTCCAGCTTCTTCTCTTTGACCTCCGTTATGGTATTCCAACTGGGAATTATCAGTGCAGTGGTGATAATTGGAAAAGGAAGGGAGCCAGGGATCAATTAATATCTGTAAATGAGAAAAGCTGATGTCAAGATGGTGATCATTTTAAAAGAAGGTGAGGGGGGGCAATGAGGGTGAAACAATGAATGATAGGAAAGAAGCCACGTTACTCTGAGAGGAAGTGAAAGAACAATTTTGAAGAACAGATCAACATTCCCCTCTCAACCAGCTGATCTCAAAACCGGATTTCACTGGTCATTCATCTTGTGGTTTAATTGGAGTTTGCATCAAATATGGCTGCTGAACTCACCAACAGAAGACCAGGTGCTGAGATATGAGGCATTTGCTGTGTATGAGGCATTGAGAGATTTCTCCAGAAGCGATGAGAAGATATTTGTGCGAAGTGAGGAAGATGCACTGTCACCATCCCTGCCTTTTCAGCTATTGGTGTCTCAGTTCAATGTGAACCCGGTGGACCCCATGACACTGATGTGGACGATACCAGCTTGGCGGTTGGCCAGTACCACTAGTGCTCTTTGAAAAATTCATTCATAGGATGTTGGTGTCAGTGTAAGGCATTTATTACCCATCCGACTTGCCCTTTAGAAGGTGGTGGTGAGCCTTCTGGCCTTCCATAATTTTCTCCTTCCTTGTTTGTCCCCCCTCCTCCCATGTTGGCACTGACTCTGCTGAGGTGATATACGCCAGATTTCCACCTCCACTACCATTACACAAATAAGCACTTGAGCGAGATCATATCAGATGGTCAGATTCCCCTTCCTGCTGCTATTAGCTACACTCCAGCCTTTGAAAGCTCAGTTGTGATCTCATTGTCTAAGGTCAAGACATCCTGCTATTAAGAGCTGCTTTCCAATCAGTTAGCTGGCATGTAGTCTTAGCAGCACCAGTCCTGAAGAAGAGCTAGTTGACACTGGGGTATTGCCAGGTTCTGGTTGGCAGTCTCCATTGGAGTTGTTAGGGAAAGGTGTATATCCCACTCCAACCCCCCCCACCATCTTCCACATGGCTGGTGAGGGGTAAAACGCTATTTGTTGCTCCCAGGCAGGCTAATTGAGTGTAAAGGGCAATGCAGCATGACCTGGTTCTATCACCACGTTAACTGTGTAAAACCTCAGAACTACACGCATGCAACTGCTGTCACATCAGGACCTGGCACATTGTTGCTTGATAGATAAATGCACAGTGTTTGTGGGATTTGTGTAATGGATGATCCAGATAGAATAGTATCTCACTAACCCATGTTCCATGTGTAGGATAGAGATCTCTTGCTAAATGTGCCCTTTCAGTTTTAGGGACACTTTTTTAATCTGATTACTCTATGGAGGTGAATGGATTTTGAATGAGTTAAAATATTGCCCATTGGTTCTAAAGGATCAAGAGAGGGTCGAGACGTCAGTCATGTCCAAGCAGCGGAACTTTCTTTCCTATAATTTGGAAGGTCAGGGATTCCATTTCCACTCCAGTGACTTGGGCATGTGCTAGACTGGCATTTCAATGTGATGTCAGAAGACTGGTAACCCTGACCCTAATCCTATCAGAGGGGTGCCAAATTTTGGACAAGACATTGAGACCACTATCCTGTTTGTCTCTTTGGGTGTTTGTAGTAGATCTCACGCCACTAGTTCAAAGACTTACTTTCTTTCATTTGTGTATTGTTTCCAGTCCAGGAATGCTTTGTGTTTATGATTTAGTAACTCCTGGAATGCTTGGCTGTTGTTGTCAAACCAGTCTTGATGCTTTTTATTTGATAGCTGTAAAGGTGGACAATTTGCTTTAGATATTATGTGGTTTCTGTTTGTCAAGTGTTATCAACTTGATTGTGATACATTGATTGATTAGGCCTGTCTTCGCAAAGTCCCTAGAATCCATTACCATTGAATTTCCTGTGGCAGTGCTGTTGCTAGATTTTGAGCCAGGCTGATGGAGGTAGTAGGCTGGATTTGGTGATTGTCTGCTCCTTTCTTGATGCGGTTGATACAGACATCCTTGCTGTCTCTCACTTGGATAATTGTGCAGTCAAAAAGGTGTCAATTTCTGGAGTGAGAGGGTGTTGCCGTGAAATTTTGCATTTGTCTCTCTGAAATGATGTTTGTCGTAAACCAATAATGTTCTGGGCATTTTGGTAGGAGGAGGACTCTGTTACTATAATACAAGCAAAGATCTGTGGATGCTGGAGATATGAAACAAAAACAAAGTGCTAGAGTAACTCAGCAGGTCTGGCACCATCTATAGAGAGAAAAACAGAATTTTGTGTCCAATGACCTTTCATTAGAGCTGATGCTGCCAGACCTGCTCAGTTTCTTCATCACTTTTTTTCCTCTTTGTGTTTCAGACTCCTTGGCTGTCTGCTTTCTCTCTGACTTCTGTGCCAATTTCACTTTTCCAGAGGCTTGTCCCTGCCCATTTGACATCGTAATCACCAAACAGTCAAGTTTTCTGCCTTTTGAACACAGGACAACAATTGGTCAAAGTTGGCACAGAATTCCTCTTTGGCCTCATCTGTTGTTTCTAGGGTTAGGATGCACACTCTGATGACTGGTGTACCACTCTGTGTTAAGGGGGAGCCAAAGGGTCATGGGGCAATTCATTTAATCCACAAGGACGTTCACTAGTTAGTCAACTAGTTTGCTTTTTATAGTAAAGTCAACCCCAGGGAGTAGGTGCTCTACTTCTGGTTTACCCTTCCAGCAGGAAGTGTATAAGCCGCCTTGCTGTTTGAGCTGACCTTCTCTTGCCCATCGTGTCTCACTTGGGCAGCAATTCCAATGTCCTAATACTGAGGTTCCTTGGCTATGATAGCAGTGGGACATTCAGGTCTTGCTGCTGGATTTGTCAATGACAATCCTGCTGTTGCAGGTCCTAGACTTTATTTTGAAAGGGTGAAAGGTGCTTGTGTATAGGATTCTTTTAATGTGGGATGGACATTGGATACTGACTAGCCTTGGTGGAGCAAGACTTTCCTCCTCTGGCAGGGATGGCTGAGACAGTTGAGAGCCAGCCTGCACTGCACTGACTGGACTAACGTGCGTAAAGCCCACCAACAAAGGGGTCTACAGCCCTGCTTGCTTGTGTTGGTATTGAGGGTGCCTCTCTTTCACTCTCTCAATCTCTCTCTCTCTCTCTCTCTCTCTCTCTCACACTCTCTCTCAATCACCTTTCTCTATCTCTCTCCCTCTCCCTCTTTTTCTTCCTATCTCTCTCACACACACACTCGCGCACACACACACGCACACACGCATGCTCAGTGGTTTAGTACTGTTACCTCATAGTGCCAGGGACCCAGGTTTGATTCCACCCTTGGGCAACTATCTGTGTGGAGTTTGCACATTTTCCCCGTGTCTGCGTGGGTTTCCTCCGGGTGCTCCGGTTTCTTCCCACAGTCCAAAGATGTGCAGGCTAGGTGATTGACCATATTAAATTGTCCATAGTGTTCAGGGATGTGTCGATTAGGTGGGTTATAGGGGGATGGGTCTGGGTGGGATGCTCTGAGGGTCGGTGTTGACTTGTTAGGCCAAGGGATCTGTTTCCACACTATAGGGATTCTATGATCTATGATCTACATACACACACACTCCCTCTTTTATTTCTCTCTCTTAATCACTTCTCTCTCTCTGTCTCTCCCCCACCCTCACTCACACTCCCTCTTTCTTTCTCTCTCTCTCTCTCTTTTTCTCTCTCTCTCTGTCTCTCTCAATCCACCTGAAGTGAGAGATGCAGTCCCATTCAGTGTGTGGTAGGAAGAAATGCCTACTTATCGACCTTATTCAGAGCGCCTTCATAAGATAATGATGTGGGGAGACAGGAATAGAACGGTATGCTCAAGGATGAGTTGGAATAAATTGGGAACAAAATCATGTGGAGCTTAAAGGACAGATCAGACTATTTGGACCAAATAGCCAGTTTCTTTGCTGTAATTTCTGTGTAATCCTAGGATAATTGGTATACAGGCTGGAACCTAGGAGTTAATGTAAGAAAGATAGCAAAAAATAGTTGATATGTGAGTAAAATTTTCTAAGTGTAATTTACTTGTGCCCTTTTAATCAACTCATGCCAAAGTTGATTCCCAGTCCAACCTTTTCATGTGGGAGCCCTTTAGAAATTATGCCCTACCTGAATATTGGGATAAAACATATCCTTTCTTGCACAAATAAATATTCAAACTTGGTACCTGCTTGCCTCAGGCAGGTACAAAGCAATGGAAAATCTCTCTGTACTCGGCAACAAATGAACTATGTTTTTCCGTTGCACTCAGTGTTGTAAATTTTGTTTATCAAACAGCCAAGAAAACCTGTGCAGCAACTGAATTTACCTGTGACAATGGTGACTGCATCATGGAGAACTGGCGCTGTGACGGAGAAGAAGAATGTGCTGATGGCTCCGATGAAGCAGCTACATTGTGCAGTGAGTAACCACAGTTTGGACGAGAACATGCCAAGTATGGAGGTAAACTGGGAAGGTCTTGTATCAAAGAACTGAACAGCTGAGGCCCACTGTTTAGTGGAGACCAACAACCATTTAGAGGGGCATTTACACTGTTGATTTGCCCCATAATCCCAAATCTGTCTGAGTAATCTACAGATCTCCTTTTTTCACCTTTAGAACTGTTGATTAGAGGCAGCTTGGAGTTTCGTTTTTGTAGGATTTTCTCTCGCAACATCCTTAAATTCCATGCAGTCATAGAATCATAGAATCCCTACAGTGTGGAAACAGGCCCTTTGGCCTAACAAGTCCACACTGACTCTCAGAGTATCCCACTCAGACCCATCTCCCTATAACCCACCTAATCTACACATCATCAACACTATGGGCAATTTAGCATGGCCAATCCACCTAGTCTGCACATTTTTGGACTGTGGGAGGAAACCAGAGAAAACCCACGCAGACACTGGGAGAATGTGCAAACTCCATACAGACAGTCACCCAAGGGTGGAATTGAGCCCGGGTCCTTGGCGCTGTGAGGCAGCAGTGCTAACCACTGAGCCACCGAGCCACCGTGCCACCCCATGCAGTCATGTTATGAAAAGGAACATTGGTGAAGCTGCTAGAAAGCAATTCTGAATTATTCTAAATTTTTGTGTTTATTTCAGAATTCTAATCTGGCATGCATATAAATTTAAAAAGCAATTCAAGTGAAGAATGGGATGATTTAAAACAATAGTAGGACATCTACACTGAAAACAAAATTGACAGTTTCTCCGGATTAACCAAATAATCAAAACATTGAAAATTATTTGTCACCTTTTGTTCTTTTTTCCTACCCATCTCCTTGGATTAGCCATAGCTGCTACCTTGGACAATGCTGTTATGTGGCTCAACATCACATTTTGTGATAATTACCTTGTGAAGTGCCTTGTGATGTTTCTCTACACAGGAGGTGTTATATAAGCACAATTTGATGATGTTGGGCTAGGATGTCACTATCACTGTCCAATCTAACACATCCATGTGGGCATTTGTCATTTGTTGAATGGGACGATGAATATCAGCTGTGGAGTGAATCACATTTCTGCCCTTCTCCAGAGTCCACCTGCATGTGGTGTTCTGCAGCATTTACTAGACAGTTTTCAACAGCAAATCTCAGCTTGGTGGTTCTATTTTTGTTTGTAGTCCAAAATGAAGTCCTACTATCACCCTCTTTTACACAGACTAAGGATCAAAACTGGAATATTTGCATGGCTAAGTTGTATATTTTGCTGTCTGAACTCTGACTACACTATCAAGGAGTGACCATACTTGTTAATTCTAGGAACACAGGAACAGTAATAGGCCATTCAGCCCCTAGAATATGCTCTGTCATTCAATCAAATCATGGCTAATTTGCAACCTAACTCCTTGTACCACTTTTATTCTATACCCCTTCATCTGTTAAGTTAATGAAATGTATCGATCTTGGATTTTAAACTAATAATTGATCTAGCATCAATTGCCATTTGTGGATGAGAGTCCCAAATTGCTGCCAACCGTTGCATGTAGGAGTATTTCCTGAATGTTCAGACTTTTCTTTTGTCTATAGCACCTAGTCTTCGACTTCCCAACCAAGTTTCTTGCTATCTACCCAGTCTGTTCCACTTTATGGCTTGAAAACCACCTCAAACCACTGTTACCTTACTGAAATTCAAGAAAATGCAATCTTAGTTTGTGTACTATAATTTTTCTTTGTAATTTAATCATTAGGGTCCAGGTGCAATTTAAATAAACCTACATTTCATTCCCTACAAGGCTGATATGTTCCCCTTTTAAGGTGGGTTGTTCAGAGCTGCTCTCAGTTGTGGTCCAAACAGGATTTTTCATATCTGTACTTAATGTCTACTCCCTTGTGTCTGACTCACTGGATAAAAAGGCTGGCACTCTATTGGCCTTTATGATTAATTTCTGTATCTGTTTACAACATTTTAGTGATCTATTGGACTCTTTTTGAGTTTCTATTATTATCAACTTTACACCATTTAGAAAGTACTTTGTTCTATCCTCGTTTAGTCTAAAATAGCTGACCTCACATTTATCTACATAGAAATCCATGTTCCACCATTTTTCACATTTACTTAAATCTATTAATGTCTCTTCATAATTTTATGATTCCACCTGCACTGCTTACAAAGCCATCTTTGATATTGGCAAACTTGAGTGCATGGTTTTCTAGACCATTATGTAAGTTCTTAATAAATATGATGAAAAGTTAAGTCTCAACATTGATCCTTGTGAGCCATCCCCAGTCATATCCTGCCAATTAGAAAATCTGCCCATAATCCATACTGTATGGTCAGACCACATTCGGAATATTGTGAGAACTTTTTGGCCCCATATCTGAGGAAGGATGTGCTGGCATTGGAGGGGTCCAGAGGAGAACAAACCTAGGGATGAAGGACTTGTTGTATGAGGAGCGGTTGAGATCTAGGTCTGTACTTGATGGTGTTTAGAAGGATGGGGTGGGGGGAGGGGATCTCAATGAAACTTACAGAATGCTGAGATGCCTGGATAGAGTGGATGTGAAGAAGATGTTTCTATTAGTAGGAGAGACTTAGACCCAAGGGCATAGCCTCTGAGTGAAGTGTTGACCCTATAGGACTGAGATGAAGAGGAATTTCTCAACCAGAGGTGGATCTGTGGATCTCATTGCCACAGAAGGCCATGAAGGCCAAGTCATTGAGTGTCTTCAAGACAGAGTTAGATAGGTTCTGAGGAAGGGTTACTGGACCCAAAACATCAACTCTGATTTCTTTCCACAGATGCTGCCAGACTTGCTGAGTTTTTCCAGCAATTTCTGTTTTTGTTTGTGAGAGATAGGTTCTTGATCGGTAAGGGGATCAAGGGTTTTAGGAGAAAGCAGGAGAATGGGGTTGAGAAACACATCAGCCATTATCAAATAGCTAAATGACCTCGTTTTGCTCCTATGTCTTGTAGTCCATATCTCTTGCAACTCAGACATTTTCTAACCAGGTCAATATTTTGCTTTCAATTCCATGAACTTCAACTTGAGCTAACAGTTTCTTCTGAGGAACTTTATCAAAGGCTTTCTGGTTATCCATATTTAATAATATCCAAAGACGTTCCCTTCTCTAACATATTGGCACTCCACTGTTTCAAAGCATTTGAATAAATTTGTCAGGTGTGATCTATCCATTACAAATCCAATTTGGTTCTTGCTGATCAGTGGAAAATTTTCAATATGTTCAGTCATCCTATCCTTCAATTATAGATTCTAATAATGCCCAGCAACAGTGGTTAGACAATTGTTCTTTAATTTCCCAGCTTTCTTCACTCAGTTAAATTGAGGATTGGGATTTCTAATGCTCCAATCAAAAGAAACTTAAATAACTTGTTTCCTTTCAGTGATCCATCACATGAAAAGTAGAGAATACATTTGAGCCAAGAATCTGCAGGTTTTGCATTGAAGTCACTTTCTTTCCTCTTCAGTGGGAATGAGAAAGGGTTGTATACAGGTGCATATTTAATACAGCAGTGTAAATGCAATGCTTTTTACAGTATGCAACCATAATAATTGAAAGTATTGAGTGAGGAGTGAGTATTGACCCCTGCCAGTACATGCTGTCTTTTTATGATTTATAGGGGAAAAACATGATGAATCTATTTTTATGTTGGATACTTGGGTAGGTGTCAACCCTGTCCTGGCAGTCAATAATGTGGCATTAGGAGATAATAAACCCAATGTAGTTTTGATTTTGTTCACATCACCTTCTTGTTAAAGACTTACAAATGAATTCAGAAGAATTATTTATTTCTCATTGATGGATATATCAGAAGCTGCAGGACATTAACAAATGCAGAATCCTACAATTGCGAGAAATCTGAAGAATGAACATAAAATGCTGGAATTTCTCAGCAGGTCAGGCAGTGAGGAAGGAGGAGAAACAGATGCTGCCTGGTCAGCTGAGTAATTCCAGAACTTTTGTTGCTAAAATCTAGAACTTTCTGTTTATTTCTCAGTATTCTGCATTTGTCCCATAACTTCAGTTGGGTTCTAGTAACTTTTAAAAACAATCTTTTTTCATATATATTTCTCCTCTTCTGTTCTGTCTTGATGGCAATGGCTCAAATTTCCATGAATACCAGCTGCTCTGTCATACCCTCACCCAAAATGTCCATTTTTCCTGTGTGTGTGTGTGTGTGTGTGTGTGTATAGACACAAAGTCAGCCATCCAAAGTCACAACTAAGTTCAATCTAGGTCTGACCCATATCTGCACTTCCCAAGAAAGTCCACTCAATATTGCTGACGTTGGAGATGATAACCCCACACTACCATTGCTACCGAGGTCACAGTGCTGCTGAGATTCATTGTATTACCCACTGCTGTCCTGCTTGAGCTCAGGTAACTCGGCAGAAACTGGGAATCAAACGCAATGCTTTCCTGGTCTGAACGATGATGCGTTGTACTGTACTAAGTAATGCATGTGGCAAACACACCACTAGAGGAACGTAGTATTAAGAGCTATAACCAAACAAGGTCTGAGATATGGAGTATTGAAGCTGTTCCAATGTGAGTGTACTTTTGGTGTTCCATTTGGCATCATGTGGAAATGAGCTATTCTGACTTCTGTTATACTTCAATGTCAGAGATAGAAAATACAGAACATCACCAGATCATGCTTCCCAATCCTAATATTAGCCCATTTTGGTTATCAAGTGGAAAGATACTATTACATTGCAAGTCATTGACTTATAGCTCAAATGATTTCATAAGCTGTTTTAGAAGGAGAGTTTTGATTTGTATCACATTCTTGGGGTCTCGGATACATGTTAATTTGGGATCTTTCACTTTTCTCTGCCTTCTAGAGAAAATCTTAACCATGCGCTCAGAGGATTTCAAAATGTTGTGCTTCACCACATGAATGTTTGCAATCTATAATTGTAGGCTAAACAGTGCCTTGGCTCTTTGCTGTGC